TTTGCTTAGGTGTGGAGATGTGTGGGTTCACTGCTTTTATTTGATCAGTGATGTGTTTTCAACTGTGAGGATCACTCAGACTACTAAATTCTACATATTGCTAAAAACGCAAGTTTCTTATTTTTTTCAAATATTTAAATATAGTTATTTTATCTTATATAAAAGATCCTTAAGTCTTCAAGGATTAATTATGATTTTCTTCTTTTTCTCTGCTGCTTCTCACTCACTATAGACGTTACTTTGGACTATGAGCTCATATTTAGCATATTTTAATCTGTGGGAACTCGGAGGAACCAGATTTGAGAGTGGCTTCCTCTATATAAGTTCAAGGTTTGTTCCTGTCAGGCATCCTCAGAGGCTACAAACACAGATCACTTTAATTTAATTCATCAGCTTGAGGTTTCCCAGATACCCCAGATAAGCAAAACTGAAAAGATATTTGTGTGAGAAGAGAGCTTAGTTACAAATTAGGGAAGATTGGCTTTTTCCTCAACCCAGGACAAAGTCAAGAGAGGTATCATACCAATTTGAACATAGTGTTTCTCCTAGTCCACCTTTTCATGGATATATAGCACCTTGACAGTGCTGGCTTAATGCCAGCTCTTACCTGTCACTTGGGATGAGCTCAAGGACTTCTTTCCTGTCTGTCCTAAAGACTCACATTAGTAATTAAGTCCTTGGGGCACCCTTAAAATCAGTTCTGTTGTGTTATACTCATACATATATATTCCTTTTATAGGGAGAGATTTTGTTTTTTCTTCATTCTACTAATTTGGTGATATTACTGTAAGTGCTGTATATGTTTTAAACAGATGATATAAAACACTCCATGATCTTTAGGAAAAACAAAGTCTACTTGATAAATGCAACAAATAGTAAAATTATGCTTCAGTTCTTTATTATGACCTGTTAATGACATATTCATTTTCACTCATATTGTGTTATGACAGAGACAGAAAGTAAGAAGACGGATATGAAAGAAGAAGAAAATAACATAAGTATGAGTAATAGAAATAAGAAATGTCAGACAACTTTACAACAGAAAAAACAAATTCTGGGGCGAGAAACAAGAGATGCATCAACAAACAAACAAGTCTACCCAAAGAAAAGCAGACCCAGAGGAAAACAAAGAATTCTAAGAGGAGTGCAGCCCTTGACTTTCATGGAATAAAGAAAGAATATCCATATCTCGTGGCTTTTTAATAGTGCTGCTTGGGCCGGCCCCGTGGCTTGGTGGTTAAGTGAGCGCGCTCCACTGCTGGCGACCCGGGTTCGGATCCCGGGCTCGCACCGACGCGCTGCTTCTCTGGCCATGCTGAGGCCGCGTCCCACATACAGCAACTAGAAGGACGTGCAGCTATGACACACAACTATCTACTGGGGCTTTGGGGGGAAAAAAAAAATAAAAAAAATCTTTAAAAAAAAAAAAAAAAAAAAAAAAATAGTGCTGCTGATGAATTTTTTCAATCACATCACCATTCTTCTAGAAAAGCCCTCACAATGGGAAATTAAACCTGTATACCCGGTTTAACCTGCAGGCATGGTTTCTCCAATATTCAGTTTAGCCTAAGACAATTTAAAACTCACTAGACAGCCTCATATCACTAAGGTCTTTTGTCCCCCATATGTTTCAAAATTTCAGCCAATTCTCAATTTAGAGGTTATAAAAATTAAAAGGTCTCCTACGTAAATCTCAACTCTCATCACATTGGGACATTTTGGCATACCTATCTGTTTTACGACTTACTGCCTAGGGGCACAATTAAACCAACCTCTACTCATACGTGGCATTTTTGATAGAATCAAAATTTGGGAAGCTGATTACTTGTAAATCTTCCTACCTACAAGCATTCTTCCTCCAAAAATAACTTTCCTCTCATTCTTTAAAAAAAATAGTAAAAGAAGTTTAACACTCTTTTACTTCTACATACAGACATAAATATTTTTTTCATTGTGTAAAAAAGCTAATTACTCAAAATTCAGAGTTCATGGATGATGAATATATAGCAATACTAAATGTTTTATTTCCAGTAAAACTGAACTAAAATATAAGTTCCTTTTCCTGAAGAGCAGACAAGGCTACATAGTTTTTATTTTGTAATCTTAAAATCACCAATAGTTAAACATGGCTTTTAATAACGTACGATTATCTATTCTCTGAAACTTATCAGTAAGTTGTCAGCACCCACAGGTCATTCAAGCATCATACTTCATTTAAAATTATTTATTTCAGGAAAAAATATGAATAACGCATTTCCTAAACATAGTAGCTTAAAAAAAGTATTAGATCAGAGTATATTCATTTGCTATACAACTTCAAGGTCTAATCATAAACTTTCTCATGAGCAGCATAATAGACAACATAAATGCTTCCTTCTTCCAAATTTCAAAAATTACTTAACACACTGAAAGATAACATGGAACCAAACTTTTGTCCAAAACTTGAGCCTTTGCCTCTTCACAAAAAAATATTTTTCTGATTAGTTATAAATGCTAGAAGGGCGATTTGATGTGTATGATAAATAACTCCCAAAGAATACATATTTTTCTCAATTACTATAATAATGAAGTTGCCAGAATTCAAATGTAATGTCTGAATTTTGAATTTAGAGCATCCAGCTACTGATTCAAAATTATATCTTTGCCTCCTAAAGATGAAAGTACCTATCTCTTCTTGTCTCAGGAGCTAGACAGTAAAATATTTAATCAACTTATTAACACATTTTTTAAAGGCCCATAATGATTCCAAAAATTCTTAGTCTTCTTATTCTTATTCTTAGTCTCTCACACAATAAGTAAGTAGGCAATCTTCTGACCTTATTCTGAACTGGTAAGAAGAAAATTGATAAAAAGAAAAAAAAAGTTAAAAATTCCTAGTGCTGGGTAGAATAACAGGCTGATTTCAATTCTGTTTTATAGGCATATGAAATCAGGGCATTCTGGAAAAAAATATAATTTACCACATAATGTCTTCATTTTCCATTACATTTACATTATTGTATTCCACCCCCTACCTCCCTACCATCTATGCTGAGGAGATACTTAGGATCATTTCTTTAGGAAGGAAAAATATAAAATTACTCATAACAAATAAAAAATGAAGAAAATCACACCCAGGCTCAGTCTTCTACTATCACAAATGAGGTCTTCATCATGACATAGGTTTCTAGTCCGTTTTTCATTTTGGAAACTTTTCATTTTACAAACTTGTCCAACCCCAAGAATCACCAGTGGGGCTTGCTGAAAATTCAGGTTCCCTTGCTCCTTCCAAACTTAATCAGAATTTTCAGGGGGAAGGACCTAGAACTCTGTTCTTTTAGTCAGCATCCAGGTAATTTTTATGATGAGATAAGTTTGAAGAACATCGATCTTGGGACTACGTTCATCTTAAAAAAAAAAAAATTCCACTCCTAATTTTCCCTTTATGAGTTCCTTAGGAAGCAGCATGGATTAAAAGTATTGTGAACTGCACATATTAAGATAAAACCCAGTCCACTTTGCAGGATAGCCTTTTAGAGTGGCTAAAAATATATGAAAGTAAACTAGCAGTTCCTAATTGTTAATTACCCTGAGGGTTGGTGGGTCTAAGCCACTATCTTAAGCAAACGAGGTTCCTCTCAATTTGAATTATTTGAAGCATCATCACGCTTTCTATCTAGAGACTTCGCAAAGGGATGATCTTGCTAGCATGTGCTAATTAAAGACCTGTACAGACTGGACTAGCTATGTCTAAAATTAAAAAGACAATGCAAAATCAGGAAGAGCTTCTTGAGAATGGCATAAAAAGGAAACAAAGTGGATTTAGATATGTGTATTTCTTTACCATGTTATACCCTTGTGTGTGGTATAGAACATGGCACATAGAAGGCATTCAATACATGGTTGATGAGTGGATGAATGAGAGTAAATGAATGAATGGGGTGTGTGTCAGTGACACAAATAAAAATAGTATCATATAATTCAGTAACATCTTCAGGGGAGAGAAAAGTAGTTTTAAAAATTTCTATAAATTACCTGGTAGAAAACCTTTACCAGCCTTTAACCTGAATAAATGACACTGAAATTTATTTTCAAAACAGCAAAGGCAAATCCTGAGAGGCCCACAAAAGCACAAACATAAAGAGAAGGAAACAAAAGGAAACAAAAGCTAAGGTGGTGCTTCAGGAGTAACACAATCTGAGACAAGCAGCCCATGAAGACTAGCACACAAGGTCACGTCGACGCTCTTCCCCAGGGTGGGCTCAGCATTAAAAACCACATACAGACAGCACACTAAAGGGCCCAAATTCACAAGAACGACGACTGAACAAGAAGGGAGAGGAGAATTCAGGTAGAGGTGGGGCAAAAATCCAAGAGAAACAGAATGAAGAAGAGTGGAGGGAACAGCGTGCAACGTCTCATGCAGGGACCTCAGTGAGGACAAGGGGGCGCCAGGCAAGACTCGGTGAGAACAGAGGACGAGTGAAAGCGAGACACTCAATCACAGAAACACACCGCTTACCCTCTGCTTTAGTGGCAGTACCATCTTTAAGCAAATTAAAAAACAAGGGAAGGGATAACAGGGAACAGTTAGTAACATTAAGAAAATTAAAAAGCAGAATGTTATTAGCTGCTAAAAAAGCAAAAGTACAATTTAAAATAAAATTAGAAGGAAATAAGTTCAACAGCAAAGCAGAGTCTGAAGCAAGTCAGCGCACCTTATGTTGAAATCAGCTTGGTACAATGTGCTTTTGCCTTTGGAAAACAAAACAAAAAGGGCAACCCAGGGTAGTGCCTCAGTTGGTAGAGTGATTGTTGTTCTTTGTTTTAGCCAACTCTCATCCTCTTCAGAGTTCCTTTTTCTTAGAACAAAGTACTAGCAGAATGGGAGGGAAAAACTAAGAACTAAAACACTAAAGAGTCACCCAAAGGGCAGAGGCAAGTAAGAAGCTCAGAGAGGCTGGCTCTAGCAATGCCTATCCCAACTACACGTGGAGCAGCAAAGCTGTACAGCACGGTACCTGCGTCAAGGCCTACGGACTCCATATCTTCCCTCAGGTGTCTGGACTCTAGAAGTTTGGAAAAGGATCATCAGCTTTAACGCTATACTTCTGCACAGATGTAATATGTCAACCTAAGTAGTAATTTTAACAACTTCTCAGTAGGATCATGTTCTATTTTAGGAGGTTTTTTGCTTTTTGTTGTTTTGGACGTAAGGCAAGTAGAGGTAGAGTTCTCAGGAAATGGTAAGAGAATGGGAATACTCCAGTCCTGTTATTTGAAGAGGTAACACTAGGCTGAAAATTTACCATCAGTGCTTCTAAAAGGTCAGTTCTATATCTTCAGACCAAAAGACCTGAGTGCCTTGACTAGCACTGATGGTCCATATTAATATATCCCAAATACACACAGAAAAAACAGACTACTGAGTACTCTAAAGCTGGTTTTTACTCCCATTTTCAAGCAAAGAAACAAATACTAATTACAGATACTCAAGGTGGATCAAATGTATTGAAACACAGGTAAGTACTTAAAAATTGAACTAAAATAATAGAACTACTTCACCATAGGAGAGAGGAGTTCTTCCTGATCTCTTCATTACTCAATGGTTACATATCAACATAGTATCATAAACCCTCCTACGTAATGTTATAATAGTTAACATTAGAAAGGTAGGAAAGGAGAGCTCTTACTGGGTTTCTTCCCAATCAAAATGTATCTATGTATGAGATATTTCACCGTAGAGAAAACAAGACTGATTTAACAAATGCTCCAGAACAGAAATCTTTCAAATTAATAATGTTCCTATCACCATCACAGTTTCTTTCACTGTATAGGATAATCGTTTACAAAGGACTTTTATATAATTCCATTTATCACTAGCATATACCTGAGTCAGGTGGCTATTATTACAACTAATTTATGGCTGGAGAAAACAGACTCAAAGAGGCCGTGGCCTACTCAAAGCAACCAAGCTAATAAATGGCAGGCCCAGTAATCTTCTCTTAGTGTCCTCTTACTGTGCTTCCAAGCTCAAAACATTTTTAGAACATTAGTTTGAGAACTGACTTTGGAATTAGTTTATAAACCACATAAGTAATTCGGTCCCAATGTTTCATGAAGTTTAAATTATATTCATTTCTATAAAATCCAAAATAAAACCGATCCAGCTAAGTCCTCAGATTTTGGCTTGGAACAACTTTGCTTTTAAGAAACATAAAATGAAATAAACTATTAGCCTTACATACCGTAGGTGTTAAGTTGTCTGCTAAAAAACTGAGAAATTGACTTACCATTCTGTCAGATACCAGTTCTTTTGAAAATAACTTTTTTTTAATCTTTTGGGCTATCATTAGAGTAAATGCATGCTCCTCCCCAAGGCAACATATGGAAGGACAACACTGTTGTACAATATGGTTATGCTGGTGAACAAGTCCACCACATTCCTCTAGGGGTCTTCCTTGCTGTCGTCCCTCTCTCCCTCTCCCCCACTCAGCTCCCCCACTCCGGGTACATTCTCAAATGGGGAAATATCTAACTACAACGACTACCTTGGTGAATCCCTCACTAAACCCTTCTGGCTCTTCTTCCCCCAATGTCAAGAGGGGAGAAAACCCAGCTTTAGCAATATGGGAGGTGGCTTAGGTGCTCGCTGGGCTGCCACGAAGGGGGAAGTGAAGCTGAAGGAAGGACATGCTCAGGGCCATACACCATGTGAGCACCAGTGTACTTACTTGTCACTAAAAAGGATGATGCTCCAGAGAAAGGTAACACTCAACAAACTGGCTGTGAACCAGCATTAAGTGCACAGAGTTACTTATACTTAAATATCAGCCCTGCAACAGTGAGAATTTCCTCAATTATGGTTTTTGGTAATTTGCTACATAAATAAATTTGAGCAGAGGTAAGTGGCCTCTTGAACAGCAGAACCAGGGGGAAAGGTGGGGGGTCTGGTTACCTAAGGATGCGTACGACCCCGGAGGCAAGGCCGCGGCAGAGCTGAAAGGCGCAGCGCCTGAAGTCGCGGAGACTTTGGATTTTGCACTGGCAGCCGCGTTCACGTCAATGTCACTCCGAGAGCGCTGCAGGGACCCAGTCGTTGACACAGATTTGGTACTAACTGTAGAAGCTTTAATGGTGAAGGAGGAAACGTTAGTAAGGACTATACTGAAATTTTAAACATATATTGTTAAAACTTGATTTGCTTTTCTTGAAAACAAATATCAAGTTTTAACAAACGTTGGAGCACATATGCACTGACCAACAGTTTCTCCTGGTCACTGAAGACAGAGTCCAGCCAATGGTGAAGAAAATGAAAAGTGACCACAACTATACACCCCTATCACATCTATTTTCTTATAATCAAGATTAGATTATAAACTCCAAGAAACAGACCAGATTTCTGGTTAATATGAGAAGGGAAATAACAAAAACCCCGGCCAGTTTCCTCACGATGTGGCATAAACGTGCACTCTTACCCAGGCGCCCTCCCCCTCTCACCCCTAACAACCACCAAGCTGCTGCTGCTGCTGCTGCTCAAAGCATCACAAGTTGTCCTCACTCTCCCATCAAGTGATCAGAGCAAAGGAGCAGCACTATTTGCGGCAGCATCCCCACGCTGGAGGGAGTTGGGTGAGGAAAGGTCACAGAGCTCAATTTCTGCCTGCCGAAGTCATCCTGACAATGTCTTCCTCACGGCAATGGGCCCCTGGGAAAGCAGAGCTTTGCTGGGGACAGTGGGAGCACAGAGCAGGGCAGCACACTCTGCAAACCTGAGAGGGACCTGAGAGCAGGTCGCTGGCTTCCAGCAACTGAGCAGCTTCTGGGAGAAGAACAGCCCACCTGAGGTTAAGAAACAGAGCTCTCCCCTGGACTGCCTTCTCCACAGCTGTTAGTCTTACCTCTAGAGGTGGTACTTCCAGTAGGACTTCTTTTGGCAGAGAGCGGCCGACTGAAAATAAAGGTATACATCTGTTTATTATCAAATTTGTACTTTATCTGCGTTAATGCAAGTACAGTTCACAACAGGAAATTATGCTAAGAATTATTTCAGAGTTTTTAGAATTTTTCAGGTGATTTTGGACCACAATCTTAGGAACCCTCAATTTCAGACAAAGCTCTAGCATTATATTCTTGACTATCTTCTAAAGATACACAGAGAAGTCATAACTCAAGACAGAAGTCAGAAATACAGAATGAAGATGATAATACGTTAAGTCCTAGGTTTTGAATGCCCTCCATTTCCAAACTTGTCTCCAGGTTAACACTGACATTCTCTATGAAAAATTCACGTGTGTTACTCCAAAACTATATTCTAGGACTGCTATATAAATTTATCCAAAAACTACTCATGGCAGAGACCAAAGGCACCCATTTCTTACCATTCCCCATAGTATCTTATCTAGTACCAGAATCCATCTTAAGTAATGGGAAATTATAACAGGCACATATATGTAAAAAATACAGCTAGAATTTGTGTTCTTGTACAGCAAATTTTTATTTTATTTTTTTCGTACTATTTTTTTTTAATAATTTTTTATTTATTTATTTTTTCCCCCAAAGCCCCAGTAGATAGTTGTATGTCATAGCTGCACTTCCTTCTAGCTGCTGTATGTGGGACGCGGCCTCAGCATGGCCAGAGAAGCGGTACTTTGGTGCGCGCCCGGGATCTGAACCTGGACCGCCAGTAGCGGAGCGCATGCACTTAACCGCTAAGCCACGGGGCCGGCCCCGTTGTGCAGCAAATTTTTAAATATAAAATCTTAACACTAACGAAAAGCACAGCTGAATTCCTTACTTCAGACTCTCTTGAGAGCTAGAAGACGAGCGATCGGATTGCGGCAGGGACACAATGCTGTCCGAGTTCTTCAAATGGGACTGCAGGGCTTTCTGGTAGGAGGACTCCAAGGTGTGGTATAAGTGCTCGGCTTCTCTGCTGAAGTGACTGTGGAAACCCCAGTAACACCTAGGGAACACACAGCTTCCTGTTATGCTCAGTGGGCCATAACGGAGATTCACTGAGCTCTGGAGGACACCACATAACCTCTTCAAGGACTGGAGTCCTCAGTTTACCTGCTACTAGCAGCAGCATGGTATAAGGAAGAGAGTGTGAGCAAAGGAGGCCTGGGAGGAATCCCGCCCTCACAATTCACTGGCTTTCTGACACTGGGTGAGTTATTCAGCTTCTCTGAATCTCAGTCTCATTTATAAAATGAAAACAAAAGGGCCTAACCTGCAAGACTGGGAAGGCTTAGGGAAGAAGGAACTAAAACATCTAGAACTATACCTAGAACACAGGAGGGACTCATTAATGGCAGCTTTTATGAATACAATTTGACACTCATTGATTTGAAGTATTTGAAATTGCCTTAGATAACATGTTCAAAAGGGAATGGAAAGATATTCACAGCTACTTGAAATCTGTGTTGCATTATGACTAAAGAACTAGACAAAATTGGGGGAGGGGGAGAAAACAATACAAAGATAAAAACAGCATAAGAAGATCATTAAGAAATCCATTCCCAATAGTTTTTAGCAACTATTAATTATGTTGCTTATTTTGATAGGAAGTACCCAAGATGAGACTGTGGTAAGCACTTCAGTGTTATAGTGAAGTCCTCCAGAAAACTCAGAAACCAGGGAAATATAATTTAATGGAGAGCAGTTCAACAACAAGGACTTGATCAGTATATATTAACGCAGCCAAGTAAAACAATCTTCCAGGCTAGCAAAAACAGATTTTAACCTGTGTCAATTACAAGAGTTGGTCAACTATGAAAGCACAGACAAAAACAATGCGCTGTCCGAGAGAGTAAGTCGTAGCATCAAACGTCTGGTTATTTATGGCCAGAGTGGCAAAATTATTCTAAGGGAGGTACTGAATGGAGGGGGCCACAGCCACATGACTGGAGCATGACCAGTCCTAATGGCACAACTGCTTCAAATGTGGGATGGCAACATCAAGCTATCACTGTGACACTCCCAAGCATCATATCCATCTACCTCCCTCACCGTGACTCACACTTCCCAGCAGCCACCCGAAGCCTGCACAGGTCTGAGTGCAGGGAAGAATCCCCGTGATCGTGATCTTTCACGGTAAATCAAAAAGGTCACTTTAGCTTATGACTTGGCTTGTAACAGAGCTTAATGAATAAGAGAATACACTGAGTATGCATACAAGTGCTTTTCTGATGCATGTAATAATTTCTCATCAATTTAAAAATCAACATTCTGTTGTTTACCTCAGTCCTGTTTATATTCCAATAATATCAGTCTTTCAGGCCTGGGCATTGAACAACCTCCTAACAAAAAACTAGAGAAGTATTTCAAAATGGCCTTTTGGGGTTATGTTTAAAAGTCATGATTAACAAAACACGTTCAAGTAACTGAACGAATTTTTAATAAGGCAATGTAGACAGTGCATCTGAAAAATAAAGGTAGTGAATAAAAAAAGTGGTGTACGATAAACACTTACTTTCTGGCTTCTATCCTTGCTTCAGAATCGGCATCATGTATTCCCTTCTTTATTGTTTCGGCTAATACTGATATGTGTCTAGATATTTAGAAAAGAAATCAGTAACAATCATTAATATATGGTTTTATGTGGATGAAAACAGGTATGAGAAATAACTTCAAAATGGCAATGTAGAACTTAGAGCCTTTGTGCCAAGTGAGTCAACTAACATGCAGCTAAGAAAATCAGAACACCCTGCAGACCTTCTACCTTCTAATTCTGTCCCAGTACCCTACCTCCACCTAAGTACCCGAGAACTGTCCTCTCTTGTGTGATGTTTTTTAATAACTGTTGATTTTTTTCAGGCCCACTTTATTTAGCTCAATCTTTCATGAACCCAAACAAAAAACCCTATTTTTCCATGGTCAAAACTAGTTTCTATGGAAATTATAATGAGATAATAATCTTAATACTAAAGAAACTACCTACATCACATCTGTATAATAAACAGAATGTTTTTTCAAGTTCCACTACGTAACATGAACAATTATATAAAATTATGTAGCCATTTTATAAAATAGGTATTCTCTTTAGTTATGTCCGACCCCAGCTAGGAAGAAATCATCCAAGTGTCTCATTGAATATTCAACAAAGTTTTAAGAAAAGGGAGATGACTGGAATGAATAATTTCATAGAACAAAGACTAAGTTATCAATTCTACAAGCCCATTCCAAATCTTTGCCTCATCACTTCATTCATTCAATAAATATTTAGTGAGCACTTGGCTAAGTGGCAGACACTGAGCTAGGAGATGAATGAATACATGAGACTACTTCTGGGTTCTTCATGTTTTTCTGTTCTGCTCACCTGTCTCCACATTAAATCCCTCATTCCACTTTCCACCTCTAATTCTAAAACTATCACCAAATGAAGACATAATAATGAAGAGATTAAAGAACAAGGAAGTATTTAAAAAAATGTGCAACTATCTTCTAGATTCAAGTATTTTTAGATGAAATTTCACCTCTGGGAGGTTTGGCTTTGTTTCATCTCTGACCACTGCCTATGGAATGGGACTCCCAGGAGTACTTGATTTATTAAAATTCCACCACTAACAAAATGTTTAATATGCTGTAAAGTTCTTCACAAACTATACAATATACCATTAAAACTTGAGTGGCACTACATCATCTATTGTCTCCAAATTTAACTCAGAAAGAATAATAGGCACCTACAATTGATAGGAACTAGAAATGGCAAAGAATGAATCTCAAAATTAATAGAGACATGCTTCTTTAAGAATTCTACTTTTTATAATGATGATGCGAAACTTACCATACACCAACCTGAATAAAGAGAAAACTGCTGACTTTCTGATACAGAGGGATCAAAAAGGAAACTCTCAAATGAGTGAAATTCCTTTAAGGACCTAAGGGTTACACCTTGCCTACTAAGAGCAACTTTAAACACTGACCTCACTGGAACTGATAGGAACACGCCGCAGGATCAGAGTCACTAGAGTGAATCCTAGCTCTGTAGTTCTCATCATGCACATCTGTCCACATCTCTGGGCGCACTAACATTTCACTCGATGAAATTCACTAAAAGCTTCTGCCAATATTATGTGCTTTGCATCAGTAGAAATAACACAAGTAGACATGCAAACAAATGTTTAGATTTCTTATAGAAAGTGGGTGGGACCACTCACTGAGGCATTAAACCTCAAGATTCAATTCAGAGGAAAAAATAGCAAATCAGATGCTCACCGTTCCAGTGAATGTGTCTGCCATTCTTGTAAAAGTAAATCTAAAAATTCAAAACAGCGCCTGAAAATTGTAAAGAAAAAAACATGTAACTTAGTAATTTGTATCTTAGTAAAAATAAGAGCTTTTTTCTTCTTTAGTGACCCAACACTACTTTTTACACTTGGTACATTTCTTCTAATTTTTATGATCCAAAAAATAGAACATAAAAGATGGAATCAAAATTGACCGAAAACCAAAGCAAATGAAAATAACTAAGCACCTATGGTGGTCAAAAAGAAAAACCACAGAGATATAGGGACAGGATACAAGAGTTCTCTTGAAATTAGAAACTTGATCTTCATCGCAACGTTACTGAGAGGGCACATCATTGTCATTTGTTTTTTTAATACTTCCCCAAACAATACATTAATACAGGATGTACACATGCACAAAAGATCAATGTAATTACAGAATCAGGGAAGTGGTCTTTGCATTAATTTCACAGAATGCCTTGTAACAAAACAGTAAAAAATACCCTGAAAAACAGTTCTCGCCAAGTTTTCCCGCTGAGAAGGTCCTAGGTAATGCTTCGAAGAGATTTCCTCTAGCTACTCAGCTATTTTCCTCTCTTCAATCTTTCAACATCCTTTGATTTCAAGCCTTTTCACTTTTGTGATCTTTCTTGGCCTGATTTGTGCATAAAAACAATTCCAGTCTCATTTCCTCTGGATTACATCACCACTTTGGGTCCTACCTCTTTATAATCTCCTTTTTCTGAAGTCCAGGATAGCTATCTTTGTAGGAGTAAATCTTAATAGTCTTAGGATCCATTCAAGGAAACAAATCAGAAGGTAAACTTCTTCTAATGACCAGACTTTCTTTCCCATGATCCTCCCAATTCAAAACCCCATAATCCACATAATTACTGACTCAATAAATCCTTACTAAACTCTCACCCTATGCTACATGATGGAGATACACTGGTAACCAAGACACAATCCAGCAACCCAGACAGACAAGAAACAGTTACTGTGTGCCAGTAGCACACAGGAGAGCTATTCAACCCAGTCCTAGGGCTGGAAATAGTGGGGGTGTGGGGGGTTGTAAAGCAAACTTTCTCCAAGGAAAGACACTGACCTATGCCCACATCCTTCTTCACTGTCTCTTTCCCCACACTGCCCTAACCTAGGCCATGTTTATTTAACTTTTCCCTCACGTCATTTCCTGGTCTAGATTTTTCTTGTCTCTTTTCTTCACCTACTCCTACTCATCATTCAAAAAGCAGTTCAATTTTCAACTTGTCTATGATGCTTCTTGGGCATACATCAGCTAGCTTTAATGACTGCCCTCTATGAATTCCTAAATCCACAACACATGTTGTAACTCACTCTTATATTGCTTTGTACTATTGTTTTTAATCTCCCCAACTAAATTATAAACTTCTTACAGGCAGGGAGATTGTGCAAGCCACCTCTTGCAAATTCTACAAAGCAAAACTAGGTACAGGTTGAATATATAACAAAACTGCACTGCCTTGGTTACATTGCCCTCTTTGGTTCTCCTCTTTACCTTCCTGAAGGCAGAGGGACTGGGCCAGACGGTCCACATTACTTCTTTCAGCATTAAGACATATGGTTCTGACTGACATTCACACTAACTAAATACAAGAACAGCAATCTAAGCGTGTGGTTCAGAAATTGGTAAAGGGGGTGGCATTTCTATTGTCACAGTGATTGTAGGTGGCTACTCGTATTTAGTCCCAGAGGCCAAAACTGTTAAATCCTATGGACTGAACTGTGTTCCCTCAAAATTCATATGTTGAAGCCCTAACCTCCAATATGATGGTATTTGGAGATGGGGCCTTTGGGAGGTAATTAGGTTCACATGAGGTCATGAGAGTGGGGCTCTCATGATAGGATTAGTGCCCTTCTAAGAAGAAACACCAGAGAGCTTGCTCTCTCTCTGCCATGTGAAGACACAGCAAGAAGGCAACCATCTGCAAGCTACCCTCATTAGAACTCAACCATGCTGGCACCCTGACTTCAGACTTCCAGCCTCTAGAACTGTGAGAAAATAAATTTCTGTTGTTTAAGGCACCCAGTGTATGGTATTTTGTTATGGCAGCTCAAGCTGACTAAAACACTCAATATCTTGTAATGGTCCACAACAATGATATGCATCACCTCACTGGAGGAACTCTGCTTTACAAAGGAGAAACACATTCTGAATTTCTGTTGGGAATCTAAAAAATAGTGATGATGATAGCAGCAGCAGCAGCAACAAATTCTAATAATGGTTACCATTTATTAAGCTTTCACTGGGTGTCAAACCCTTTTTACCTAAATGACTGTGAATCCACAGAACAACTCTACACAGAGGTACTCTCATTCCTAACAGGTCAAATAATTAGAAAGTGGGAAAAGGTAATGCTGCAAGTGAAGTCTGTCAGGTTCTGAAGTTCACTATCACCCCTCTTGCAGACTTTACACTCTCACCTCTAGGGGGAGTTGACACTGCTTCCCTCCAATCTCAAGAAACTGAACTGTGGGTCAAGGGCAGACTGTATTCCTCAGTGATACACAATTGAGTCATGCAGTTAGAAATTAAGCTTTTTCTGTGGAAGGAGCAAATTGTTTTCTTCCTGGCTTTACACAGTTGAAATATTCCCCTTCTTTTCTCCCTCATGCCTTCCACCTAGCTGTTAACAAGATGGATATGGGGCTGCCTCATGCTTAGGAGGGTCTCCTATCCATGGAAACATGGCAGGACCAACGTGACACCCTGGGAAAGGAGGGAAACAGCAGGTAGCTGAGGTAAACTGGGCTCTAAGCCCTAGAGTGAAGGGCCCTTTCACTGGACTAAGATGAAGACAGAGAACTACAAGAATGGGGCTAAGAGGCTGCTGCCCAGGCCTGCCATTAATTTACCCTACAAAGCTCCTGATACAGTCCATTGAGAGGCTTCAGGTGTCCATGAATCCCCTGAAAATCTACATAAAACTATTCCGGGTATTTACGTTTTCCTGGGAAGACTTAACAGACTGTCAAAAGAGTCTGAAATCAGTCAAGAATCACAGATGCCAGCTAAAAGAGCCCTTATTCCCCACTTGCAGCCTACGGCAGCTCATCAGGACACAAGACAAGATAGGGACTTGGGAACAAAGCCCTAGCTAGCTACCCAGGTTGTATTTTCTGGGTGTATCTCCTGTAACGGTGCAGCAGAACAGGTGACTGGTCAGGATTCAGAATTCAAGAAATCATTATCAGAAGATGCAAACAACATACACCTCCTCCTATCTATGTTAATATTAAATAATTGCCATTAATTGTTACAATGTTTTTTTCTTACCTGTAGTTACTGCTTTCATTCAGAGCATGAGGTAGACAAATGATAGAGGGATTATCTCAGGAAAAAATGTATAGGGCGTCCTTCCCCTCTCTCCCTCCAAAGCCCCTACCAATTAACTCACACACATTCTCTCTCTCTCACACCCACACAAACACAAAAACAATAGAGGTCGTCCAAATTTACTTTCCAGACTTTAGATCATTTAGACTATTTAGATCTTCAATCCAAAGGCATTTATTAAAGCAATCTTAAATATTATTAAACATTTCAAACTTGAACTTCTTTCCATGGAGGGAAATTCGGAATTTGTTTTGCTTTTTTAAACAATCCATAAGTAATGGGGAAACTGTTTAAAAATTTACCTTCTAACTGCAACAGACTTGGAGGTACAGTTACTTGTTATGACAGGTATCAGCCTAGGGATGTGTGTGTGCTATGGAAAAAAAACAAAAGACAGAGGTGAACACTCGAAAATACAAAAACAAAACAAAACAAAGACAACCACTTTCTTACTAACTTACCTAAAGCACATATATATATATACATATATATTCAGAATTAAGTTTAAAAAGGAAAAGGAATTTCACTGGGAAATTCACTGGAAAGGAAAGTGCATTGCTGAAGGCCACGACAAATTTACAAAGCAAAAACAGACAACAGGATGATAAGTCCAAAATCAAAACAGATCATTGGCATGAAGTCTAAATTCTCTGAGCAGAAGACAGCTGAGTGAGTTCAAAAGGCGTCAGCAGACCAATACCTTTTGATATTGTCTTTTTTGTGTGTGTGTGAGGAAGATCAGCCCTGAGCTAACATCCATGCTAAAGATCCTCTTATTGCTGAGGAAGACTGGCTCTGAGCTAACATCTATTGCCAATCCTCCTCCTTTTTTTTTTTCCCCAAAGCCCCAGTAGATAGTTGTATGTCATAGTTGCACATCCTTCTAGTTGCTGTATGTGGGACGCAGCCTCAGCATGGCCAGAGAAGCAGTGCGTCGGTGTGCGCCCCGGCATCCGAACCCGGGCCGCCAGTAGCAGAGTGCGCACACTTAACCACTAAGCCACGGGGACGGCCCCTTTTGATATTTTCTTAATGAAAATGTCCAAAAATGGCTTTGGATTTAATATTTGAAGTAGGCAGTGCAAATAGTAAGAATGAGAAATACAAAGTAATTAACCCACAATAATCAGGAATATGCTGGATAGATTTTAGTTAACATCATCCAGCCCCAGTTTCAAGGGTTGGCTTTGGGAAAAGGGGATTTGAAGGTGGGGAGGAGGTGATGCGGAGAACTTTCATTTTAAGCCTTTGTGAACTACTAGATTTTATTGAAAACTTGTATGTAAATTACTCAGATAATTATTTAAATTTAAATAAATAAGTTAACTGAAAAGAATATTTTGTTTCTGTGCTTATATACAATTAATTATATTAAAATGTTAGGTGAATAACAAAACCACAAGTACAAATACCTAACACAGATTAAGGAGGAAAGAACAGGAGTGGTGTCTGGAGACATAAAGAACAGAGTATAGACAAGAAACAGATGTAGATGTTCGAATGTTTAAAACTAACGATGAGTCAGTCGATGATCAGCACCTCAGTAACTATACATCACATTCATAATTCACATTATGGAATGTAAAAGGCTCTACGCTATAATTAAGTGCGGGGGAGGCCAATATTGTATGTACGACATGATTCTAACCATGTATAATTACTCTAACAAAAAATGCCTCTAAGATTACTTATCAACGACCAATATCTACCACTTGCTTACTCTATGTATGGCCCCAAAACATACTTACCCGAATGATTAATCTAACAGCTACAACACCAGAAGTGGCCATAATTTTGGCACTATTTGGAATTAAATTAAAGATAGTTGGCATAATGGCTTCAGCTCCATGGTCAAACTTATTCCCCAGAACTGATGACAGATGCCTACAATAAGAAATGAATACCGGACTGTAGTTATATTTCTTGCAAACAGTGAAGCATATAAACCTCTTAACATTTTAGAGCCTTAATTCAAAGTTATCTAGGGATAAAAGACAAAGGTCTACGTAAGATACTTTAAAAATATTTCCAATGTGCACGTAGAAGACTTGGGAAATAGCCATTAGCACAAAGAATTTGTTCCTTTTTTTTTTTTTTTAATAAACCATTTCCAACTAATTAGTCTTAAAATAGTAAAAAACAAATTATCATGTACTAATAAAACATAAATATGAAAAGGCTCCCTCACTCTTTTATTCTTTGGCCCTTTTATTTATTTATTTATTTATTTATTTATTTATTTTTTAAGATTTTATTTATTTATTTTTTCCCCCCAAAGCCCCAGTAGATAGTTGTGTGTCATAGCTGCACATCCTGCTAGTTGCTGTATGTGGGACGCGGCCTCAGCATGGCCGGAGAAGCAGCACGTCGGTGCGAGCCCGGGATCCGAACCCGGGTCGCCAGCAGCGGAGCGCGCTCACTTAACCACTAAGCCACGGGGCCGGCCCAGGCCCTTTTATTTTTAACATATAATATTCATGTTTCAATACTGGACTGTAGCCAAAACTTTACACAGCTGCAATGCCTCGTGACTGCTGCTGCTTGGCTATTCTGACATACTTTCTAACACAAAAGTTCCAGCTTCAAACACTGATACAGGTTTAGCTACAATAAAATTTTACCCCAGTACATGCCCTTAATTTTAACTTTATAGTTACAGTACTCTTCTAGAAACAAACCAGCAAAAATTCTGATAATCATGTTATATCCTGTAAGCAAAATCAACGAAAAAGCTGAGAAACAAATTTATAAAATTTCATTTTCCGCACTAGTGATCATAACTGCTACAAGTTTAAAATAGACGCTTCAGAGATAAGTCACTGAATAAAATTTAAAATCTGTCACACTTTACATAATTGGGCAAGAAATATTGTAAAAGTACTAACAGAAGTGTAACTGGAACAGGTCTTGGAGACCAGTCAGAAGTTGCATTAAAGTGACCCATCCGACACATTTAATGAACCATCTCTGAAGCCCTGTGATGAGGCTATTTTATGTGTGAGAAAGTGGAGCGTCGCAATCCTTACCCCAATGTGATACAAGCCTCCCGCACTACCTGAGACCGCAGGTCCTTAGCAGATAGTTTAAAGGCTCCATCCAAAAGACGCAAATGTTGAAAGAAGTTATCATACTCAGCAGCACCAGCCAAAAGTAAAGATCTAATCTTTTTTAGCTAATGGGATAGACAAAATTAAGAGATATACAAAACAATAGAAGCCATCAAATATGAGAAAATAACATCAAAGTTAAATGATATATAAATAATTTTCCAAAAAGAATTCAGCCAATTAAATATTAGCTAATATACTGAACAAATCTATGCATCACAAATAAGAATAATTTTTAAAATACAGTATGCGTGATTAATATATAATTCGACAAAATCTATTTTTTAATTGGAAATATTTTAGTGTATTTACAGATTCTATATGCTAATGATAAAATAACTAAAACCTTCATTTTAGCCTGTAAAAAGCTCCTCCCCTAAGCTTACCTTCTCCCACATTCCACTCAACTGCCATTTACTTAATGAATCAAAGGAAAAAGCAATCCTACAGTCTTTATGGTATCCTCCCCTGTATCACTACTAAAAGGCTAGTCTGAATGTGAAATGGAATACAACAGCAATTTCACGACCTCTCTCCTTGCCACCCAACCACTGTAAAGTAGTTTCCACAAGATCAGCTACACCCTCACTTTAACATTAGGCCCACTTATTTTCATTAATCCTCTTTTAAAAATAGAGGCTCAGAACTTTTTAGCAAGTGATATGAAGAAAGAAAGGAACAGAGGGACACACACTGAAAATGCCACTAAAAAGCTGCTTTACTGGCCGACAATCAGAAAATTCAATCTTCACTACAGTGAGAGGGAAGGTCCTCAGCAGGCAATCCAGTTAGGTCTTTGTTAAAAGTACAGGGTATACAGAAGCCTGTAAGTTGGCATGTTTTAAAAACAGAAATAGAAGTGAGGTCCTCCACTAAAAAGCTAAAGTGTAAATATGATAATTTACATTTAAAATGTCTACTACTTAAAATTCATTAGCGCTCTACCCCAATTTCATAATAAAGTATTTAGAATATTTAAATAAATCTAATGAAAACGTAATCACATAAAGTCAACAGCTTACAGCATTTACTCTTTGCTCCCAATCATGCTTGTCATCAGATAATATTTCCCTAATCTTGTTTATGGATTCCTCAAGGTCTCGGCTGGAATAAATCTGTAAGCAAAATTAATTTACAATCAACACAAGAAAATTTACAGAATACACAAAGATTATTTCTTATTTATATGAAGTCAGGAGCATTTAGTAATTGTAGTAAAAGAAATCATCTCATTTTTCAGAAGGACCTATGAGATAACATCTAGACAGATTTGTCTGAGAATGAACTTCTTCCCCATTGTGAACACACACCCACTAGATTTGATGTCCGTGTATGGATAACCTTGCCTCAAATGTAGCTTCACTATAAACTTAACAGATGATTTCATGTACAAAAGAGAAAGAAGCCTACTGGGAAGCTGTCAGGGATGCACAAGTCATTTATTACTCTTAGTATTATTTACACCACCACATTATACCTTAACTTTAAACACTTTTCAAATCTACTTTCTCATTTATCCTCACAGTTTACTTATAACACAGGTAGGGGAATAATCAATCAAGAATGAAGCATGCTGAGAAGGTCAGACTCTAGGATGAACCTGAGCCTAATAAGATGCTTGTTATCTGATTTATACACATATGGCAACCAAGCAGAAGGTAACAAGTGATTCATACAGACATTAAGTGCTACAGGAGTCCCGAGCACGTGATGACATCAGCGTAGGCTGAGGAAAAGCATTATTAGCCCCCAGTCAACAATGGACGACACTGAGGTGCAAAGCAGCTAAAATATGTGACTGTACCCCAACTCTTACAAATAATCTTTGCTTCATCTGTTCGGTACTTTAGTGAAGCATTAAGATAGTACAAACTAAGCTTTTATTAAACCATTATTTAAAGCTTTTCAGACACCAAAATCCTTCAAATTTACAAAGTTTTCTTTCTAAGAAAAACCTCTAAATAAGCACGCTTCTTTGTTCTCACATTTAATCTAATCACTCATTTTTCCCTCTTTTATGTGGTGGCCTGACTCACAAACTTGTTACTAGAACAGGCAGCTTCTCTCCAGTTCTTATTGAAAGATCATCTTGGGCCTTGGCTTTTGCTCTTCATTTCAGCTATAAAAGGCTCCAACATTTTCTAGTCTGCAACCTCAGATCTCCTGTAGTCTTGATAGTTAAAATTACCTTACCTAGTAAGGAAGTTCACATACCACATATTTGAAAAATGAAATTTGAAGAGTAAGCTCATCCTTGTTTTTAATCAAACTCAAATATCCTTACTCACCTGCACTACAGGTACATCATCAAACGCTTTAATAAAATCCTCTTCATCAACAGCACCAGCTCCTTCTTTTGCAGCTATAAAAAAGGTTAATTTTTAAAATGAAAACAATGTGCACTGCAAGAGTCTGAATATACACTATCAAAATTACATTTTGAAAGATTTATAACTAGTTTTTTTAAAGGATTAATAAAAATTTACAGTGTTGTGGAATTGGAAAACATTACTGACTTTAATATCAAGATGAAGTATAGCAATTCTACCATATTATATACATTAGCTTAAAGTCACTTAAAAAGATTACTTGTTTAAGGAGGGACAGTCTAATCTTTAAAGAATTTAGATGATTTATAGTGTATTATATATTATATAGTGTAAATATATATATTTATAGTGTGTGTATATATATATATATAGTGTACAAATCTTTTGAAAGATTCCTAATAAACAGATATAACAGAAAATTTAATTCTTCAGGGAATAAATTAGATTTTGTTATTGTTAGGGCTCTAGCATAATAAATTAGCGAAATAGTCAAATAAGTTCTAAAGAATTTAACAGTTCCATTTAAACTTTATGTTAGTCTCAAAATATTTCCATTTCCTTGAACTCATGACAACTTTGAATTTTTCATTTATGGATCAGTAGTAAGTTTCCCCCATCAAGTTGTAAGATGCTTTGTATACTTAGTTAATTGCTATCATTTGGGAGAAAGTTTTTCCTTTTTGCTATATAAACTTCACACATGAATATCATGTGATATTTTATCAGATTTTTTTCATAATAAAGGTTTCACAATTGGTGTATACGGTCATCCTTATACCCCTCATTAACAATTTACATTGATTAGTCTGAGCGCTTTTCTAGAGATTCTCACCAGACAAGCTATCTGGTGTTTGAGGTCATGATGGACTAGCTAGATAAAATAGGGATTTAAAGACAATTTTGGTAGTGGTAAATGTGTGTCCTCACTCTTGATGATCACCCACACTGCGTTCACAAGCTAACTATAAAGTGACAAGAACAACAACACATTGTGATGTGGAGCTCGGTATCTGCTTTAGTGTTAAGACTCCATCGCCCTCAGTGGATAGGTCAGGAGCATCTCCTCTGTGTAAGGCACTGTGCCTCGCACCCACATACTGAAGAGGACCTAAAGACCAACTACAGTCCCTGAACCCAAGGAATCTGACAAGAAGGAGTCAACAAGGAAATTCATGACTATGGTGTTAAACAAAATGTAAAAAGGATGAGAGTGGGGCTGAGGGGGAAGACAGGGCTGATATCTCTGCATAATCTACACAGTTGGGATTTTTGGAAGGGGTATGGATGAGGAATGAGAAGGAAAAGAAGTGGTCTGATCATGCAGAAATTTTCTAAGCCTTGTTTGTGGAACTGATGCCACCAAAGAATATATCAAGAAAAAGGATTAGAAAGATTGTTCAGCCATAAAAAGGAATAAAATTCTGATACAGGCTACAACACAGATGAATCTCAAAAACATTATGCTAAGTGAAAGAAGCCAGATACAAAAGATCACATATTGTATGATTCTATTTCTATGAAATATAAATCCATGGAGACAAAATGCAGATTGCTGATTGCCAGGGGCTGGGGGAAAGAAGAAATGGGGAGCAACTGTTTAAAGTGTATGGGGTTTCTTTTGAAGTGATGAAACTGTTTTGGAACTAGACAGAGGTGGTGGTTGCACAACATTGTAAATATACTAAATGCCACTGAATTGTTACACCTTTAAAGTGGTTAAGTTTATGTATATGAATTTAAGCTCAATAACAAAAAAATAATTTTTTAAAAAATGGACCAAAAAAAAAAGATTAGAAAGAACTAAGAATAACAGCAACAAATGTAAGAAACAAGCACAGCTTTCCTTCTGCCATCCCTGATGTGAACGTCACTCTGTCTGTCAGTGCAGCTCCTTCAACACTGACAGAGATGCTGGTGGTTGAGTCACTGCAGCGGCTCCAAGTGGATCAAGTCAAAACACCAACATTCTAGGGCCAGTTCAGAAGGCATGGAAGACCAACAGAAGGAGACAGCATTCTAACGCTAATCCTTATCCAGCTGTAACTTAGCTCATCCAGCCAAGCTCAAAAGCCCAATGCTAACAGTGAGCATGGTTCTAAAAGCAGTGGCTAATTTTTGAGAGGTAAAAAGTAGGAAATTTGCCTGTAAATTTAAAATGTGACAGCAAAATGAAAGTTGTATATAACAAGGACTCAAACTGTCTAAATTAGGATCTGGAGGAGGAGGGATTTAGGGAAGAAATCTTTGTAAATCAATTTTCAAAGATTCAGGCAGTTGATGCCTACCATTTCTTTAAATTTAACACCCATACTGGTCTCACAAGGAACAATGCTACTTGTAGGAACAAAATACGTTTTAAATACCTAACGGAAAGTGCAGCCTGACTTCTGGATAGTCTCAGTCTTGATAAAGAGAAACTGGCTAAAAAGGCCCCACGCAGCTTCAGGCGCTGCTGGAGTCCACTAATCAAATAACGCCATCAGGGCACACGCGTGCTCTCCCTCTCTCCAAGCTGTGCTTTCCTCCGTGTCGACTGTGTTCTTCCACAGGTGCTGCCTTACCAAAACGTGGCAACGCAGCAGCTCAAACTTACATCCTACCAGCTTACGAGTGCTGACAGCACAGCACTAATTTAAAGAAGAGCAAGCAGAGGCCTGCTGCAAATGGGATTACTCCACTTCTGAAGGACAGCGAAGGCAAGTACCACGCACGGCTGGTTTCAAATGTTGGCACAGCTGACTCCACAACACCACAGAGTGTGGTCTTACCTGAAGACTTGGATCCAAGAGCAGACGATCCAAGCCGGCGGGCGGTCCCCATTCCAACGTTTCTCCGGGAGCTTGGTGGAGCTTTGGATGACGTAGAACTGGCAGAGGAAGGTCTATTACCATCCACAGAATCTTCATCATCAAAATTTTTATCTGAAGAGTAAGCACAGAAATCATTGTTTAAAAAAAAAAAGTGCCTTTTCACCTAAATTTGAAACAACTAGCCTTAGAGAGAAATGGTTTGCCTACTCTTGGAATCTGAAGTACCAGTCCAGGGTCTAGAAAGCCCTTAGTTAAGTCCAGAATGCAGCTACAAACATTATGTTTGCTTTCATGTTATCAAGAAGGTTCTCCCACCCCAATTTTAGAAAACCGAGAAAACATAAAGACGAAAACAATCTCTCATAAAACCACCACCTAGAAACAGTTACTTCAACATTTTGACATATTTCTGACCATTCTTTCATGCATTTTTTTAATAATAGCTGATGAGACTATATATACTTTTGGAATACTGCTTATTTCAAATATGTCCATTTTTCCATGTGATGAAATATTCTTCATAAAAACCATTTTAATGGTTGTATGGTACCTTGTAACTGGAAAACGCCACAACTGACATTTTAGGGTGGTTCTAAATACCTCATCATTAGAAATAATATTGCAACAAACACCTTCCCACTTGCATTCTTGTTGGAATTTATAATAATTTTAAGAAAAAAAAAATCCCTAGAAGTAATATTACTAGATCAAAGAGTATGAAAGTGTTTGATGGGTACTGCCAAACTTATCTTCAGAAAGGTCATATAAATACATATTTTTCCTGGAAGTTCAAAGACGTGTCCATCTTCCCACAGTCTTGCCAACACTAAATACTATCCTTTTTACACTTCAACCAATTTGATAAGCAAAAAATTGCTACTTCTTCAATGTCGCATTGTCTTTGAGGGAAGTTGACCACTTTTTCATAAGTTCATTAACTTCTAAATTTTCTAAGCAGCAGCGGATCCAATCAATATTCTTTACATTGCATTTAAAATTAAAAAGAAAAAAGAAAAAACATCTTTGGGTTTTTTAAAAATCAACATATTTATAAACAACATTTTGATAATGGAAAATTAAAGCTATGATGGTGTATTATACAGAGTACCAAGAGCTTATATAGCAAGTGTGAGTCATTCAGGAAGCTAAACAAAGAACTTAAGAGTAATTAAAAACAAAAAAGGAAAACTAACATCTGTAGCTGGCAATAATCATGATTTCTGAAAAAGGGCATTATATCTTTACCACTAAGTCTGAAGTAAATAATTGTTGACCAAAAACAGATATAAACAGCACCCTGTTTTTCTTGATCTAGTCACTTCTTAGCTAAACTATCAACAACCAAGTCTTGTATCTACTCAGGACGCTTATGTTCCTTACAACTCACCAAGAATCCACTTCAAATTACATAGCTTCTTTTATTTAACATTGGGGTGGGGGGATATACAGGATACAACACCTCCTTACAAATGCATATATTTGTGCAAATTAGCTTCCTTCAACATGCCTTTACACTTCCCAGATTGCCTTATCAAGCTACGCTGCTTCACAGATGTCCTTTCAATCCACATATCAATTTCTTTTTCTTTTTTTTTTTGAGGAAGGTTGGCCTTGTGCTAACATCTGTTGCCAATCTTCCTCTTTTTTCTTTTTTCTCCCCTAAGCTCCAGTACATAGTTCTGTATTATAGTTGTAGAGTTGTAGCTCTTCTATATGGAACGCTGCCTCAGCATGGCTTGATGAGCAGTGAGTAGGTCCACGCCCAGGATCCAAACGGGCAAACCACGGGCCGCTGAAGCAGAACACGAGAACTTAACTGCTATGCTATGGAGCCCACACATCAATTTCTTATTGATTCAAATGTTCAGTGGTCTATTGTTCAGTGGTCTATTAGCACAGACTTCCCATGTGGATTGAAAAGGTGATTCTTAAACTGCAGAGCATGTTAATAAGGCCCTTCCCAAAAGTAAAATTTAGTCTAATGTAAAGGGTAATAAGGACAACCCAAAGGAGAGGTCACCCACTGAGCACTGCCAGCATTGGTGGTGACAAGGACTGATCTCAGCCTGTCTGTCCTCTGGGGAGCTCCAAGAGCATCTGAACCGCTGCCATTATTCAACCATGTTAAATAACTGTATTCTGCTCAGAACACTAACAGTTCCAGCCTATGGGAAATGTAAACAATGAATGCGGGTAATGAGGAGGCCACTGTGCTCCACTTAAAAATTCACGTAAATTGTGTTTAGTTTAGTCTTTCTAACATAGGCAGCCATGCCATTTAGAATTGCATTCAGTTAATGAGAATTATTTTCAATGGACCGATTTCACTGGAATTCCTGGGATTTCTGCTTGCAGCAATGATGGACCAGCAAGACGAGATTTAACCTTTTACAGTTAATAGTTAGAAACCAAAGAGAATATGTAAAACAACCACTTCCAGATGACACAGGCAGTGCAAGGACAACATGCAGTGCAGAACTGTGGTCCCTGAGAGACTGGAAACAAACAATGTGAGCTACACAATCACCTCAACTTTCTGTCTGGAGACGATGTCCAGGCCACCAAGTACCGGGAAAGCGGAACCTGAATTGAACCTGGCAGCCTTGCTAATGAAGATCAGAGATCAGGGAGGCTGAGGTGGCCGGAAGTTACAAAGCAGAGTGCTAGAAAAGAGGAAGCTACACAGAAAGAGAGCTCTAGAAATGTACTCAGTTCTAGGTCATGCATGTGTGAGTGAAATTCCACAAGGCAGGGCAAAAAATGAGCAGGAAGTTATAAACTGAACAATTCCTAAAGTTTACAGAAAGTAGGAAGATGTTCGAGCACCAGAGTAGAATGTTCTTGGTGACTCATCTGAGGCATTCAGTAGAGACCTCCAAGAGGGCAGACAGTAGTAGTAGGGCTGAACTATTTCTGGAGTGAAGGCTACACTATGCCTGCCCCATCAGAGTTTAAAGACAGGGCTCAAGGGGTTAATCAGATCTGCAAGTAACTTAAAACTGCTTTGCCAAACAAAGCATAACATTCCTTAAAGAAATGTAACAAAATACAGACACTCGACAATGTAACATTCACAATACACAACATCTAAACAAAATTTTATAAACATGACAAGAAGCAGGAAAATGTGGCCCTTAATCAGGAGGGAAAAAACATCAGAAAACAGTAACCAGCTAAGAAATGACAGAAATGACGGAACTAGCAGATAAGAACATTAAAACCAGTATAACTATGCTCAAGTATTAAAAGACCAAACAGACATAATGAGAGAAAAGAAAAAAAGTTTAAAGGACCAAATGGAACTTCTGGAAATTAAGAAAACACAGTATCTGAAATGAAAATTTCATTGAATGGGATTAAAAGCAGATTAGACACCCTAGAGAAAAAATCAGGGCATTTAAATACACAGCGATAAAATTTAACCAACATTAACCACAGAGAAAGAAAGGCAATTAAATACGAACAATAGAGTCTCTGAGACCTGTAGGATAATATCAAGCAGTCTAATACACGAAATTGCACTCCCTGCAGCAGCCAGAGGGAAAAAAGACACATTACATACAGAGGAATAAAACGACAGTAGGCTTCATCAGAAACCACGTGTGCCAGAGACAATGGAATGACATCTTGAAAAGGTGAAAGTATTAACCTAGAATTCTATACTCAGCAAAAATATCTTTTAAGAATAAAGGATAAATAAAAACTTATTCAGACAAACAAAAAAAAATTTGTCACCAGCAGACCTGCGCTCCAAGAAATGTTAAAGGAAGATCTTCAGGCAAAAGGAAAAATGATACCAAATGGAAACTTGGATTTACATAACAAAATGAAAAGTATTGGAGATAGTACATATGTGGATATATATAAGACTCTCTTCCTCACATTTTAATTTCTGTGAAAGATAATTGACTGTTTAAAGCAAAAACAAAACACTTGACATTTACTTTCCATTTTTTTTTATATTCTCATGTCATAGGCAGATAACCCGGTGGCCAGCAAAAGGATATATGTTGGCATTTAGGATATATGTTGCTGTATGGGATGCCACACAAAAAACTGGGACAGCAAGAAGAAAATGGAAGCAGTTCAGACAGACTCTGTCCTCAGAGAGCCTGTACTTTTAAAAGTTAATTATAACTTGTCCAAACTTACTGAAGATGTCACATAATGGCGGAATGCACGCACAAGATGCGTGTTTCATCACCAATTTCTGTATGGAAATGCCTCTTAAGGAAGGGAAGGGGGAAAAGGGACATTGAGCAGCCAATGTTAGGGTTTTAAAAACTGAGCTCTAAGAGTCCCACTCAGTCTTTTTGCTTACCCTTTGTAAACAAATCTAGCAGGCTTACTGATCTTTTTTTCTAACCAGATTAGAAGCAACTAAATATAGGAATAGTAAGAAGGGGGATGCAGGAGTTAAGTATAGTGATGTTAATAAGAAGTGACAGTTGAGAGCCTGACAGCTAAACAGAAGCTAAAAAAGCAAACACGTATAGATACACCCCCAAACCCAAACTGCTTAGAAGGCCAGTGCCAGTACAGAGGTCAAATCACATTTATACAGCTTAATAGCATGACAACAGGTGCTCATAATTATGTGACTGCACCATCAAAACTAAATTATTTTTCATGTGATATGTGTGCTAACAAAGAAAGTAATACATATTTTCTATCTGAATTGGAAATTCAGGGAAAAAGGAAAAAGTATATTCATTTTCCAGATTAACAGTTAGACACACTGCTTTAAATTCAGAGATACTTCACCTGAAAAGGTGCTTAGAGGATAAAAGTCAATTGAGCCTATTATTTGAAAACTAACACACTGTTTGAAAATAGGTTGACTTGGAGGGGCCAGCCTGGTGGTGCAGTGGTTAAGTTTGTATGCTCTGCTTCAGCAGCCCAGAATTCTTGAGTTCGGATCCCAGGTGTGGACCTACACACTGCTCGCGTCAAGCCATGCTGTGGCAACGTCCCACATACAAAAAAAAAAAAAAAAAATTGAGGAAGATTGGCACAGATGTTAGTTCAGGGACAATCTTCTCAAGCAAAAAGAGGAAGATTGGCAATAGATGCTAGCTCAGGGCCACTCTTCCTCAAATTAATTAATTAAT